TTTATATTTGATTCATCCTCGTAAATACATTTAAAATAAGTAAAATAAATGTTGTTTAATAGTATTTTTATATTACGTAATATTCATAAATTGACGTCTATTTCTCGACATAGTTGTGCCACGATTTTGACGTCATAAGTATCACGTCATCGGTCTGTGACTTATAGCCGTTAAATCCTAGTCATTATGATTTCGTTTTTGACGTCTTTTATGACGTGAGTTTCGTCATGAGATTGACTTAAAAATGACGTTATATTGACGACAGCTTGCTACCTGGGTACCTTCCCTGTTTCTTAATATTTCGTTTCTCACTCTCTTCTTGTTATTACAGGATTCATTAAGTATACTATTATAAGTACACAATTTAAAAAAAACTTCTAGAATTGACATAACATGTCAGCGTTAAAGAAAAAAGGGAAATTTACAATTGTGAGTTTTACAAAGTCTGGCAATGACTCTGAGCAAACCTGTATAGACTGTGTACCTTCAGCATGGGTTAATTTCGATAGCGAAAAGCAGCAATTAGTAACCAAGTTTATGCCACCTCCATACTCGGCAAAGAGATGCAAAGCATTGCACAAATTGGTTAAAGAAAATGGAAAGGCACAAACTACGTGGCCAATTTACGAAATAAAAATAGTAGATAATGCTGGTACTTAATTTCTATTGTGTTTATATAACATACCATGCATATCTCATGTTTTTTTGGACGCACTTTTTCAACTATGTATGACTGATCCTTGTATTTATTTTAGATAGTTATTCGGAAGCTGTATCAAAGATTACAAAATTAAAGCATGACGACTACGTATGCACTACAGATTACGATGTGGAAGACACAGAAAAAATTAAAAATACTAAAAAAAATATCGCTAAGAAGCATAAGAGTATACTTACAGTATACGACATGAAAGGCAACTTATCTATACCCCAAAATCGTTCATCTACAGGTATAATGCAATTTATTACTGTAATTAATATCGCGCGCGCGCGCGCGCGCGCGTGTGTGTGTATGTGTGTGTGTGTGTGTGTGTGAACTATATAATTCAAAATAAAAATTTTATTATATACGGTAATAAAGCAGATAATACAACATTGTTAAATTAACACGCGCGCGCACACAGAACACATACATATATTACAGTATTTTCTGTTTATAACAGAATCATCAACCGAACATGAGGTAGAAAATTCAACTGAAGATGAGTCACTAAACGAAGGACATCAAATGTTGCAGTGCAATCGTGCGGATAAAAGTAGATGTGACAATATTACAGTGGGAGGTATGTGACACAGAGTCGCGTGCCGAAAAAGTAGCACATCTCTCGCTGTCAGCTGATACTCATCGTCACTAGAAGATCCTAAGACATCTTTCTTGCTAAAAACACTCTTTTTGTAAACATGTATTGTTCTACCGCTTCTTATGCGCTTATTTGCTCATGTCATTTAATAAGGTCGTGAATAACTTACGTAATTTGAAAAATGTTACGCATGCACGCGCATGTGCACGCGTGTATGTGCCTATGACTGCCTCGTTTAACGCTTCATTCGTCCCACAACAAAACAACATTCGCATATAAATAGTTATTTTTGTGTGTGCACAGATGTAGAAGATATACCGATTCCTTCTGTTTTGCAAGGACCTCCAGCGAGAGATATTAAAACAAAAATGCCTAAATCTGTACCTACGCAAGCAGCATCTTCAAATGATGTAATTAAATGTGAGCAATTAGTTATTTTATTTTATAATACATGTACTTTTACGCGAGAGTTTTAACACTTTCATATATACTTTTTTTCCTTTATATTCTATTATTTACAATTTCCAGATCTCAAGTCCATATTAACAGATATGCAAATAGTAAAACATGATCTACAAATTGTAAAAAATAACGTACGGGCTCTAAATGAGAAATTTGAATCCTATTTGTTGCAACAACACCGTGAAACTGAACATATTCCTGTGCATTGGACAAAAGAATATAATATTCATTGGCCACTTAAAACCAAAGACGATTTTGACAAGCTCAATGAGATATTACAAAATCAAGAAATCTACGATGATTTTGTACGTAACATAATATATAAATTAATTAACTGAATATAGTTCGTTGTATTTTAATGAAAAACAATTATTTTTCAGATGGCAACAATTGCTTTTATTGTTGATAGCAGAATAACTTTGGCCAAAAATATGCTATCCGTGATTCGCAAATTCTTGCATAAAGATTTGGCAACACAATTTACATGCGTGAAACCAACAAAAAGAAAATTTACACTTAAACCGTCAACTTTTTACAGCCGCTTAGTCGGTAGTAC